CTTTCCCTAACCAAAGCAAAGCTCTGGCCCTATATGCAGACACCTACCGGGATACGATTGCAAGGTCAGGATTTAAGTAATCAGCGAAAGCATCAATTTCTACCTTAAGTTCAGAAACCGCTGAAACTAGTTTATACGGAATTATTTTATACACTATTATAAGTGGTACCGAATACTAAAAGCGCCTTTATTGCATAATCTATTATTATCTAATATTATTATATAATCTACAATTTATTTACGATGGATGTGTACCATTTAGTACCGCCTATTATTCAGCAATTTCTAATAAAATTGCTAAACTAGAAGCTCTAACAACAGAATTGTTACCAGTTTCATAAAATATAATAATATAAAGCCTACATAAGTCTTACCTTTTATAGTTAAATTTTCAATTCCACACTCGAACATTATCCAACCCCACTTCTCTTGACTAGGACCAATTCGAGCTACATCTGGAACAGCTTGTTGATCTGTTTCATCCACAAAAGCAAACTCATCCAACTCTTCCAGAGTAAAAAGAACTTTTGATTTCCCAAAAGGAATAGCTGTTATTGCACAAGTTCCAATATCTGTGAGAACAAACATATTTACCACTTTGTTACAAAATGAAAAAAACTTTACATCTTCCAATTGCTCTCTGAAGTTTACAGTGTCTTGGAAGTGTTGCCCCTTTAGTATTTCTCAAATGGGAGGGGACTGGGGGAGGAGGGAGAAACAAAAAAAAAAATTAAGTATGACCAAGAAAATAAGAAGCATAGAAGGAAGAAGAAAATCCTTCCTCCTGGTATATTAATATGGGCAGGTTAATTTTTCAGTGTGGAAAAACGAGGACCAAGCAACACAAAGTTAAAGGTTCGAGACATTCCCGATCCTAACACATCTGCTGCCTTCATGTTTTTGTAGAGTCATGGTTCCAAAGACATGCGTACAAACAAGCTCTTCAGATTTTCACCTGAAACTGGCAACTGGCAACTATTTTACCATAAAAAGCATTCCTAATAAATATCAAAGGTTTAATGGTAACAAACAACAGTGATACTGACAGTACTCTTAGATAATGTGTTTTAGTGGAAATGCATTTGGTGTTAACCATAGCTTACTTAAAGAATATTTAGAAATAAAGTTGTAATTCTAATTCAAAGACTGCTTTTGACTGGAAGCATGTCTATGTTGGCAGGATGTAAAGCACTACATCTCACTGACTCCTAAGAAAATATAGACTCAAGCAGTTTTTAATTCATTATGATTTTTGCTGACTAAGATCCAGGAGGGAACTATGCCACCCTGATTTCTTTGATATTAGGATGTACTTTAAATATAAATCCTTCCTTCTAGTGACATCTCTGAAGGAATATTTTAAATCATTTTATACCTATTGCCTGTTAACTCACACACAGAGCTAAATGTCAAATATCTGGGGAAAGGCACTACACTAACTCAATTTATATCCCTTCCAATCCTCTGTCTCTGCTCCCAACTTATAACTCTAATAACTTTTGAAGTATATGTGAAATGCTAAGATCCTAGAAAGACATTTCTCAAACCTTTTAAATAGAAGATTATGAGTTTTTCTTGGATAGAATTCAAAAATTACCTGGCCTTCCTGAAGGCCTGCAGCACACCTAACACAGGACACTACTGATAACATTCTACCCACATATAAGTAAAAATTGAGGTAACCATTTTAATGTTCTCTTATTGATTTTCTTTTCCTCCAATTTCACTGGCTTACTAATCTTTGCACAAGGATTTTTGTTTCGTTTGGGGTTTTGGTTTTTCAGTAGTTCATGGGTTTTTTTAATTGTGTAGGTTTTAATCATACTTGTTTTACAGAGCACTTCCTCATGTCCTAAAGATTCCTATTCTTCATGGGACAGAGTAAAACACAGCACTAACTGGTACAGATTCCATCAAAATTGAATCAGTTTTAACAAAAACTGCCTCTACTTCTAGTCATGTTAAGCTTTTCCATGATCAGGAGTTATAGCACCTGAATTTAATTCATAAGCTTTTGAAGGAATTTCCTTCATACAAACAAGAAGGAAGACAATTTGATAGAACTCATTTTCAGTTTTATAGTCACTATAGTTAAAAATCTACAGCTTGTCCTGCTG